CATTTTATTAAAATAAATTTATTTTATAACTTATAATTTTTAAAAATTTTATATTATAGTTTCGGAGTTTCGGATTAGAGTTTCGGAGTTTCGGGTTTCGGAGTTTCAGATTTTTTTTCAAAAATCCAAAACTAGTTTCGGGTAGGTTTCGTTTCGAGTGCCAACTCTACTCTAAACTGTATAAATAATGTAAAATTAAATTGAATTTATTAGCCAATCAGACGAACTTCTGTCTATGAGCTCACAATACTAAAGTTATCGTTTTAGTGCTAAATGATGTCACAATTATGCATACGTACTTAAATCATAACCAAAAAATTACATAGCCCAATTAAATTATATAAAGCTAATATTCATGTACGTACCGTTTCATAATTTTTTTTACGTATCGAAAATTTTTTTTGCAAACCTAAATCATATTTTTGGAAACGACCAATTAAAAAGTTTAGAACGTAACGAACTTAGTATAGATATAATTTCGTAACACAACTTTCGCAATTATATCTGCATCAAGCTTTGATTTTATAATATAGTAAATTATAGCAAAGATATTTATCTTCGATTTAATTCTTTCTCAATTAAGTGTACGATATTTTTTTTATCTGCAAAAATGGTAAAATGTATCAATTGCAAAGAAATATCTGTAAAACAAGTGGTTGAGGAAATCTTTACGTAAGAATTTTTGGCGATGTTGACATACAATGCTGTATAAACAAATATTTATATTTATTCTCCACAGCTTCAAAGCCGATCGAGTAGCCAAAATTCCGGGGTAAGTGATGTTATATCCAGAATCTTCTAATATAAATATTTTATAATAATTACTATGATATCTATTTTCAGTCGATATGGCGTTTTACATCGCATTCTTCAAGCTGCAATTATTATGTATCTTATATATTCGATTATAATGTCGGAACTTTATCTAAAAAAAGTATTCCTCTTTTAATTTATATCGTATAATAAATATTATTTGTCACGAATATTTGAGACATTTGTTAAAATTTAAAGGAACTTCCTATACCCGGTGCAGTTCGAACAACACTAAAAGAATCTGACAATTTTAGCACTCCTTCCTATTGCACCGGGCAATTACCATGCGTTTTTTGGAGTGCTAATGAAAGTATGTAATCCTATTCTTTTATCCATAAAATTATCCATTAAATATCATATAATAAAAAAATATCGGTATTGTCTGATGAAAAAAAATGATATTTATTTAGTCATTATTATAATGTAGTAGTTAAAAACAATTTTTACCTTTAAATGATACTTAATCTATATGACTAATTACATGACTAACATATTAGAAAATAAAGATTATTCGTTCGTTACACGATACTAATTGGCATTTATCATTTTTCATACCGATCATACTTTTATGCAGTTCAATATCCTTCTGATGGCGAGAGCTTTGCGTTTTTTACTACAAGAGCAAGTGTAATAAATTATCCTTCATTACCTGGATGTAGTTTTTTAAAAGCCACATCTCGATCAGATCATTGTTTTTTTAAGGCTGCAAATAATGCAACCACAATTTTGCCACCATCTTACATTGTTGGAATTGAAAATTTCACTGTAAGTCAATATACATTCGTATTACTTATCACAAATCCAAATTATTATTTTATCACTGTTACCATTTGAATAAGGTCATGATTGAACATTCCATAAGAGGGAAGGTCACATCTATTGCGCTTCGTAACGGATTGATGGATGGTGAACTTATGTCTTTCGACGGGAAAAGTCTTAGAACTATAACAAATGCTACTAGGGTATGTACAAATCTTTTTAAGCTTCTCGATTTGTTTCTCAATACATTTTATTACAAATTTTTTACTCATGATTAGATGGCCTCAAATCCTAAAGCTGATGGTGATATCTTCACTGTTCAAGAGCTCCTCACAGCTGCTGGTGCAAATTTAGACTGTAATATATAAATTTTTGTTACCAATATACTTAGAATAGGGAAACATTTGCGTAATATATAGTTAAAAAAATGGTTATAAAGCCATAAATGTTTACCCATTTTTGTATATAATATATTCAATAATTTACATCGAGGCTAAAAAAATAACCTTTATCATTCTGTTCATATTAAAGCTCCTTCAACTGCTCCTGGTGCTGATAAAACTGCAAATGAAACTTATAGATCTTCTGGAATAGTTATTGTAGTTGTGATTGAATATAGAAACGTTCTTTATAAGGTGCTTTTACTGTAAATTTTATCCTGAAAAAAAATTATTTTGAAGCCTAATATAACTAATATTCTCTTTATTTTTAGAATGATGTCATATCTTATAAATATTTACCTCGATTAATTGATGGAAATGAATATAAAGTTTTAGAAAATATCTACAATGTTACTGATGGTTCATTTACTATTATTGATAGGCATGGGTAAGCTAGATATTTATTTTACATGCTTGAAAAATTAATTGAATTTTATAAACTATATTAAAAATTTTTAATGTTATAGTATCCGATTTATATTTCAACAACATGGATCAATTGGTGAATTTGATCTAATTACTCTTCTTACAAGTATTGTTGCAAGTTTTGCACTCTTTGTAAGTCTTTTTCTTTTGTACAGTATTAGATTATTATTTATTATTATTAATGTAATGTAATTTTTCATAGGGTGGTGCTAATTTAATTGTAGAAATAATTATTAGTCTTACGAAAAAAGATTATGAAAGGGTTAAATACTTTGAAGATCTTGAACAGCAAAGATTAGAAAAATAAGTTCTTTGGATTAACACCATAATGATTATTAAACTTGTTAGAAGCGCAATAAACTTGTGTTAATTAGCTATTTATTGTTACCTGCAAAAATAATAAATTGAATCACTTTTTTTTTATCGCACATACGCACGTACATACTAGGTACTTGAAGAAATTACCAAGTAGAAATCCGCAGTTAAATAGAGTATTATTATTTGTCATAATCAACTTTATACATTATTTGTACGTAAGAAGGACTTTAGAAATTGTAAAAAAAAAGTTTTTTATTATTCTTATGTCATTAGAAATAAAATCTCAAAACACGAGGTCATAATAGTTATAATTATTGTCTTACAAAATAGAAAATTTGTCAAGTCCTTATAGAAAAGCTGAATGAATATTTCTCTCTATGTTTGGCCGCCGATATGAAGAGTTTTATATATTGAAGCATGCATAGAGTCTCAATTTAAAAAAGAACTATTTTTATGAACCATCCAATACCGTTATACTCAAGATCTTATCTGATTCTAAGAAAAATTTTGAAAAAAAGTAAGTTACACTATTATTAATTGTACAATTGTTAACCGCATATTGGACAATCATTTAAAATGTAGGTTGAGTGGTAATGTGTTCAGATTGTTCAAATTAATTCAACTTAAGGTATTTTATCAAACAATAATGGATGTTTTAAGGCAAGCTTTCCAATATATCATCAGAAAACCAAATTAAAACTCTTGTTAGGTATTTGATTTGATTTATAAATTTCTTAATAAAGAATATATTTATTCAGTCTTCCTTTGTGGTACTTTACAAGAGAATGCATCGACAAAAATATGTAATCTCATATTTCAAATATAGAATTGGCTAAAAAACTTGATGAAACTGATTCAGAATACAATATTTATGAAGTTATGCTTTATACCATTCTGGAAGTTTATTAAATCAAAAACTTATACTAGTTGCTAATATTTATGTCTTTTAGAGCATTATTTCAGAGATGCTAGTTGGACAAATTCTTTTTCGAATTATAAATTTGATTATGAGCTTATGGTGAAGATTTGCTTTTGAATTACGATCTGAATTTGCTTTTAGGACTCTGGATGTTATATTAAATTAGTTATTGTTCTACTCACTTCATAGACAATCACTTTATAAGCATTTTATTTCAAAAGCAGTTATTTCATCGACATGTTCATTTCACCAATAGTTCATTTAAGAGACAGTATATTTCACCGAAAAGTAAATATATATATCTATTACTGTTAGGGTTAGGATTAAGGTTGTGTTTAAAGTTAGTGCAAGTTATAAAGAAATAAAAATAAAAAATTAATAAAAAAAATTTCTTGCTTTATTTTGGCATAATTTTATTACTAACTATGCTTTATAGTTTAATCCTTTTTTTTTTTGTCATGTTCTCTGGTTATGATAACGGATCAAAATTTGTAATCGATTTTATCCAATCGGGGACAGGATTTCTAAGAGTCCAATAGGAACTATGAGGGAAATTAGTAAACCCATTTCCGATGCAGTACAGCAGAGACAGTGCCCGATCCAAAGTGAATCCCTTTCGCCTGTGATCAATCACAAATTATTTATGTTGGATCCCTCACCAGTTTTAATGTGTAACATTAACGGTCCCTGCTGTACCGATGAAGTGATACGGTCCAAATTAAAGTTTACCATTACTGTATGTCAGACTAAAATCACTATACTGATAATGGCCAACATAGTCACTCACTCTCCCTAGCCATAATAAACTTTATATTTATTTGACACATAGCATATATGTAGACATTATTTTTAATTTTTGTCAATTAACTAGAAGTGTTCTAGGTTAATGATGCCTGACGAGATGACTAAATTATTTCGGCATATTTCGTCTGACGAAATCCTTGGCGATTGACGAAACTTCTGACGATTAATGAAACGTTGACTAATGTAATTTAAACAAGACAAAAGATCGAAACCTTCTTTGAGAAACCTGTATATATTGTTGGGTTCGGAAAACTGCGACTCGGTCGCTCCACAATCCAAAATTTTGCGTAACGTACGATAGGTAACCTTTTCGGAAGAGGGTGTTAGATTTGGCTGGTGGGTGATTAAGGCTTTCGGTTACTTGGATTCAACGGAAGTCAGTAGGGTGAGTCACATGAACAAGAACTTGAACGAACGACAATGTTTATAGGGGTCTACAGGGTTTCTAATGGTATTAGTGTTAGGGTTTTATTATGTACGATACAATGTATTGGGACTTGTTATTTTTTAAGGCAAATGAGACATGTTGTCCCTTAGGACCATTTCGGCCTTTATTTATATTATCTTTCTAACTATGACCTCTTTAATTACATTAAACTCATTCCTCTATTTTCTTTATTTAATTCGACTTCTCTAATTTATCCACCTAAACCCTTATACTTAATAAATCCCCCTTCGCTATTAAATCCCCTTTCCTTGATATATTTAATTAATCGAATTAATGCGATTAATTGCCGGGATATCCATATCAAGGAATTGATCGCCATACCTGCTCTCACGTGAGGCCCTGGCATCTTAATTTCATGTTATTGGGCCTTACAATATACATGCTTATGCTGGGTGTTTGATAAGTCCCTAAACGGGACCTTGTTTTTTAATCTCTAAATAAATTACTACACCAAATAAAAAGTGCAATTATTAGTAATTGTTATATAATTATAACTAATACTAGAGGAGATATAAAAATGTTCTGTTTAGGGACTTATCAAACATCCGGTATAAAAATCGGCTAATGTGATTGTGATATCCAATCAATATATGATTTTGCATACGCACTCTAGTTAGCAGGAACAAAACATATATTTTATAGTCCATTAAGTGGACAATAACGATGTTACCCAAGCTATTGAGGCGTCCCAGATTATGTGTGAATGGTTTCAACAAATACCAGCAAACTATTTGGGATGTCCCAAACTACGTTATGAATGGTTTCGCATTAAGTATTTATCACTTTATTGTTATTGCTAAAACCGTGTGATACCTTTTTTATTATAATAAAACAGGTGTCGGATTATAATCATCACATGTACTAGCGGAATGATCTGGTATTGTAGAATAATTATTTTATGTGTTGCAACCAGGTGTCGGGTTAGTTGTATAGCATCAACGGTATCTGCTGTTAACATATGTCCCAAAAAGTCTTATGAACTAAAATTAGTGTAGTAATACGACATATATCACTTTTTTAGGTTTAAATTATCAGATTGCGAATGGGCATGAGTGTGCAATATTCTTCTGAACATTCGTAACGATAGAATAAATGTCATTCAGACCCCAACATAAAAACATCCACAATATTTTTTGATAACAAACTACGTTTTACAAGTTATTTATATGTTGACAAATAGAATAAATAGTCTTTAGTCTTTCTTAATACCCTGTTGTTTTAAAGGTACTTTAATTGTATATATATATGTACAATAAAATTTGACTGTTGGTATGTTTGATATTATTTTATAAATTACTTGTTGAAAGTTCAATTATCTGTAACTTTGTCAAGTTTTTTCATTGAAATAAATTTATTTTAATGATTGATAGACAGTAATAATCTTGTAATGTGTCCAATCTAAGTCACGTCGAATGATAATAACGATTTCTATTTATTAAATATTGCGTATTCTCTGATTTGCACAAAGTATTTCTAAGTCAAATAGTGGTATAATATTTTGAATTTCTATGACAATTGATAAAAATTTGAAATTTTTTTTATATACCTGTAAATTAACACAGATAAATAATCTATTTAATGCTCACAAAATTTGTCTATTCTCAATCGATTGGAAATGGACAAGGTAATGGCTTTTACATAAGAAGTTAAATTACACTATGTGACGATGTAGTAGTAAGGGTACATTATTAGTAATTTTCGCATAGTGTGCTTTAATTTTTCACGTAATAAGTAGCTGCGCGACGTTGTCACGCAAAACCAGGAACGAAAGATGGATTTCAGATAGAGTTGCAGATGAACTGTTTTCGTCATAAATTAATTTTATCAATTTTTGCAAATCCTAACTTTTACCAGGTTCACTTGCAACTCTAATTTGGATTTATGTACAGTAAGTCGAATACTAACTACTACTAGAGATGTAAACATTTAGAATCTTGAGGGGTAGCTACCCTCAGCACACTACGAATACAATTTTTGCTCAATATTGGTGTTATCCGGCAATTTATTATCATGATTGGTAGGGAGTCATTGGCTGAGTTTTAATTTGATTACATCGTAACACGTAAAAAAATAACAAGACAGATGGCAATTCATGATCATAAGAGTTTGCCGGATAACGTACAAAAAATAACCTGAAAAAAATTTGTGATAATAAGAGTTTGCACGATAACTTAGTATTATTGTAATTATTAAATAAACAACCTGCAATTAACACAATATATATATATCGGCTTGGTTCCGAGCAAGGGACAAAATTAACAAGAAGAGTTTTGCGGAAAATTAAATTTTTTTGTTATAAATTCTGGAATAAATTACAACTTTAAAGAGTTATACTACCAAATTTTATTACTATAATAGCATTTGTTCTTTAAGCAAAAAAATGTTCCTGGGTTAATTTTGGATTATTTAATTTCAAAAAAAGATTTTCGAAAAATTATCAATTTGGACCCTTTTCTCAGCACCTTGTACGTCAAACTAAAATCTTGTCAGATAGAATTTAAATACGAGTTTTATTAAGCTTAGAGTAAAAATTTCCGTTAAGCTAAGAATAGTTATTCAATGCTTTACTATGGTCAGTCTATAAAATAAATCAATTATTTTATTTTTACATGATAAAATTATTCGTAAACTGAAATAGTAAATCATTAAATAAAACCGGTTCAAGATTTTAGCCAATCAGAGCAACTCTATGAAAAAAAAGGTCTACACCGCCAAGTTTTATTCATCGAAATGATATTATTTAAAAATTATGTAGTCACAGAAACACCGTGAAAGAAAATAATAGTTTTAATGTTAGGATCCGTGTAATATATCAATTATTACACGTATTTGTCGCCGACATCATGAAGTAGTCTCCATCATGTATAAAAGTGAAATAATTACGTACTATTTAATCTGACGCACAGCATATATATCGATATATTTATAAATTTGCCTAATTAAGAAACAATACGTGTTGTTTTTTCAAATTTACATAATAACGTTTTGATTGTTTTAAATCCATTAGATACTCTATAATTACTACAGTACTATAGCTTTTAACGTCAATGCTTCTTCACCATATAAGGAACATGTGGACATTCCATTTCTGTGTGATATTCATATTTTAGTAACTAAAATTAGATCGGTGCCACGAAGAAAATGCATTACCATTAACCTCGCATGCACAAAGTCTGCGTAATGTAATACTTATGAATAATGGATTATCGGAATTTAAATGACAAGTCATTTGACCATTTAAAATGATCCGAACTCCGATTCAAAGATTCATTTATTTGCCACACAAGAAAGTAAGAAATTTTTAGCATATATTATTGTATAAAAAGACAACAAACAAATTTCAGAAACTAAATAATTAAATTTCTTTTTTTTTTTAAAAAAAAAAAAAGCAACGATAATTTAATTTAATTTATTTATTTTCGACAAGAAAAAATGAAAAATAAATTATTATATGAAACTACTGGTACCATAAAGAAAAATAAACAAGTTAGAAATCAGCAACAACTACTAAAACTTAGTGCAAATCACGAAACTGTTAGCTTTGCTGCTACTTCTAATTTGGAAAATGCTATACAACAAACTAAAGAAAAAGTTGCTAAAGTATGTATTTATTTATAAATTTGAATAAGGTCCGTCTTATCAATTGTTAAAACATCAAATAAATAAGTTAATAATTCATTAACTTGTTAATGTAAATATTTATTTCTTTAAATCACAAAAGATCGCAGCTGAATATCGCGGACAAAACCGTAAATTCAGAGATCGCGAATTTGACATATATATGAACATGAATGATTGTCTTTATAATTGTAAAGCAGTCAAGTTCACCGCCACTAATAATGTAAAACGTGTTTCAGATATTTATAAAAATCCCCAGTTTTTCATCAATGGTGTTGAACCCAATGATATTAGACAAGGTGAAGTTGGTGACTGTTGGTTTGTTGCTTCATTAGCCGTTATTGCAAATATTCCAAAATTATTGGAAACTATTTGTGTGGCTAGAGATGAAAAAGTCGGAGTTTATGGTTTTATTTTTTTCAAAGTTAGTATATACCATAATTATCAAAATAATTTTTTTGAAAAAATAATTGAATCCAAGTAACTTTAAAAAAATATATATATTTTTTTTAATACGTAGGATGGTGATTGGATTTCAACTGTTGTTGATGATCAACTTTTTACGTCCGGTAAAGAGCAAAATGGAAATTGGAAATTAACATTTTCGTAAGCTTTAAATATTAATTATCTATTTTATTAAATTTTTTAATATTAATTTATGTATTAATTAATTAGTCGCTGTACACATGAAAATGAAACTTGGCTACCATTAATTGAAAAAGCTTATGCAAAAGTTCATGGTGACTATGAAAGTATCCATGGTGGTGAAACTGGACAAGGTACAGTTTTATATCTTTATCTTTTTATATATATATATATATATATATATATATATATATGATCTTTTCATCACAATTTTAATCATTTTTTATATGCTTGTTAAATAGGAATCGAAGATTTGACGGGTGGTGTCTACACTTTAATTTTCGTTTCTGACATTTTAGATAAAGATCAATTTTGGAATGAAGAATTAATACATGTTAATGATGGTGTATTATTTGCTTGTAGTAGATTTGAATTCAGTGATCAAGATATGGATACAAAAGGAACTTATAGTAATCACGCTTATAGTGTTTTACGTGTAGCTGAAATAGAAGATAATATTAAACTTTTACAAATTAGAAACCCTTGGGGTTCATCTGAATGGACTGGTGCATGGAGTGATGGTAGTAAAGAATGGAATTCTGATCGTATAACTAAACTTGATCATAAATTTGGTGATGATGGTACTTTCTGGATGAGTTATGATGATTTTCTTAAATATTGGGATCAAATTGATAGATGTAAATTATTTGATTCAAGTTGGACTGTTTATTCAACTTGGATTAATTATAATGTTGTACCAAAATCTAAAGGAAAATTTACTTTATATTTACCTGAAGATTGTGATTTAGTTATAGTACTTCAACAACCTGATGATAGATATTTTAGTGATAAACCTAAATATATGTACGTACTTTTTCCTTTTAAACTTGATATATTTGTGATCAAATTTTTACACCTCTATATTTATATCCATTTTTCTTTGATTTTATTAAAGATATCGATTAACTTTTCGTGTATACAAAGAGGGTGAATCAACTTATTTAATCCGTAGTCGTTCATCAGTTCCGTTAGCTCCTCGTAGTGTTAATCATGAAACCACTCTTCAAGCTGGTAATTATGAAATTATTCCACGTATAAATCGTGAAATTGCTCCTCCTGATACAGATACAAGCGAAACAACTGAAAATAATGAGGATAAAGAAAGTAAGAAACGTAAAGAAAAACGTGTTAAAAAACTTTCTAACCATAAGGATACTTATGACACTGATTCTGATGATGATGAGGATGAGGAAGAGGAGAATAAAGAAGGTACTGATAAGAAAAATGAAGAGAAATGGGAATTACAATTGGGTTTGAGAATTTATAGCAAGTGTAAAGAAATTAAATTGGAAGGTCATCCAGGAGAGTTTCCAAAAAAGAAAGATAAGAAAGAGGATAGTAAAGAAGATAAAGATCCCGAAGTTGATACTAAAGTTATTGAACCTAAAGATGATAAGGACAATGATAACGACAAGAGTAAAGATGATGATAAAAGTACGGATGACAACAAGAGCAAAGATGTTGATAAAGGTAAAGATGACGACAAGAGCAAAGAGGATGATAAAAGTAAAGAAGACGACAAGAGCAAAGAGGATGATAAAAGTAATGACGACAAGAGCAAAGATGATAAAAGTAAAGAGGATAATGATAAAAGTAAATAGGATTACGAAAATCCTAACTAATAATAGTTTGACTGCTATTTTTGGCTCTTTGACTACACATAATTCGTATCTAAACTCTCCATACATCGATATTTATTATAGTTTGAAGCCGGATCTATTTTTTGTATTACATAATCAGATTTAATTAAGTTCATTATGCTTATACGTATCGATATCCGGTCCCAAACTTTGTACATTACTGGAAAATCACATCCATGCATTCTATTTTATGTATGTAAGCTTTGAGATAGGTGTGATCTTAACCAATGTTAAAGGTGAATATGATGAATAATTAATTAGGATTTAGAGTATTAACAATCATTTTAACTATTTTAACCATTTTAACGTTATCGTTATTTCTATAAACCATCCACGTTTGAGTTTTTTCTTTCACCTTATAAGGACGCTAATGAATATAAATAAAACATCTTGTGCATATAACATTCTGTTAGCATATCATTCATGTACAATAAGTACAATATTTTATATTCTGAAAGGAGTCTATAATATATGTATATGTAATTTACTGTAGTATAATGAAAATGTGAAACTACGTTTTGATAATATATTTTATTAGGTTTAATCACAATGCCAATAAAAATATATAATAATATTGTTAAATTATACAATTATTATAAATAATTAAAGGTATTAAAATTGTAAAAATTTTGGATAACCTTGAACAATATAGTTCTAATAATTTGTACTATATTTTATAATATTATATTTAAATAGCAAGATCCTGCCGAGAAATGGGGAGATGCGGACCTGTTATTTGTGTTTAGTGGAGTGCTATCTGTCTGTGACAACTAACTTTATATTTAACCTACAGGTTTATCTAATAATTTCAAAATGAGCATCCGATTAAACTATACTCAATTCTAGCTGCTTGATTTGGTCAAATTGACCATTAATACTGGGTTACTTCTGGTATATCCCTGCTTAGCTATCTTATTGATCTATTGCTATCTTGAATTTTTACATTATTATTTATCGTTATTTGCATTGGCGTCGCCTTATCTATTTATAGATGGTGGTAGAATTCAAAAAAATGGATAACGATAACAATTACTAAATTCTACCATCTATTGCTATCGCTATATTACTGTATTAGTAAATCAATAAATATCGTATGCCTACTTTTAACCTTCAAACTCTACATATTAACAAACATGGTAAACGCACAAGAATATGTTGAAAAGAATTTTGATAAAAGTGTTAGCACAATTGTCGCTATTGGTAAGGACCTGGAAGGTGATATCGACTTGTCAGAATACCCCAACTTAACTGTTGTGGATTTTGGATGTAATCTCGCATTGACAAGTTTAAAATTAGCTCCCTTAACTAAAATTACGTATATAAGCACTTTTGGTACTGGAATTATTGATTTTTCTTTTTACAGTAGCACCCCCGACATAAGACATTGTTGCTTAAATAATGTTGGAAATACTGATCAAAATAATCCATTACTTGCCCAAGTAATTCGTGATACATGTCGGGCTGGATTAAAAGCAAAGTCTGAACTTCAAGAACTTGCGCAATTAATTCTTTCTAAACAACCTTATGACTTTCTCAAACTTAAACAAGAAATGATCAAATTCAAATCACAAGAACTCCCTAAAATTAGCAATAAGTTATCAGAACAAAAAAAAGATGAAATTGCCGAACATTTCACTCATCAAATAACTTCCTCATTTGGGACAACAAGAAATGACCAAGTAAAAGAAGCAGCAAAAACATATATTAATAAGCTTGATAATTTTGAAGGAATTGATACTCAATGCGCAACTCTCTTTGATGACTCACTAAAAAATGCTTTTCAAACAGTCACAACAAATGCTTATAATAAGGGACAAGAATACTGGGCAGAATTCTGGGGACATTACCTTTGCAGAAGAGTGTACCAGGAAAAACTTGCTCTGAAAAACATTAATCAAGAAAAAATTACTCAACTTCAAACAAAAATTCAACAACTCCAACAACAAATTCAACAACTTCAAATGTAAATTCACCATTTACATATTTTACCAGAAATGTTTAAAGTATATACTTGTGAATGCAAATATTTTATTTTTATAAAAATATGACAGATTTTTTGTTTTTTTGTTATTTACTTCTTAATAACTCTAACTTGGGATCTTAATAATTCTAACTAGAGGTGGGAAAAATGCGCATTTTATAATAAAATGCGCATGATATATAAAATGCGCATGATACCGCATGATAAAAATTTTTTTTTAATTATTATCTTTATTACTGATAATATATCTAAATAAAGATACAACATAATAATTCTTAATCAGATTTTGCCTACATATATAGCTTTTACCAATTAGCCGATTGTAAATTTCATAGTTGCTAATCATATATATTAAATCATAAATACATTTAATAAAGAAAATATATAAAAAAAAAACTTAATATTTAATAATCTTAACTGTTTAAACCTTCATAATCTTGATATTTTATATTTTAATTACTGTTAAATCCCTCAAAACTGATCTTGCCAATATTAATAATCTGCTGAATTTGACTAGTTATAATGTTTTTAAATCCAATAACTATGCTAATACAAATATAATCTACTAAGTTATCAATTTGAAGAGGTTTAACAGTAGTTTTTTTTGTTTTTTTTTTAATATTTTAATTTTTTTTTAAATATTTTTTTATTTTAATTTTTTTTTTAAATATTTTTTAATTTTAAATTTTTTTTAAATATTTTTTAATTTTTTGTTTTTTTTATTTTATTTTTATTTTTGTTTTAGCTACTAATATTGTTTTTAGTAATCTATATTTAATTTATAAAATAAAATGTTTATAATTTTAGTTATTTTTGAATTATTATTTTTTTTTTGCAAAATACTCTTCTAAATAATCATCATTTTCTGAAATATCATCCATAGATAAATCTAAACTTCTTTCTTTTAAATTATCAAAATCATCTTCATGATATTCTAAATTATTATTAATTATTATTTAAATTATTATTTAATAAATAAAATTATTATATTGCTTTTAAAATTACTTACCATTATTATAATAATTATTATCTAAATAATTATCAGAATCATTATTTAAAATTTCATTATGCAATTCATCATCTAACCCATCACTATCTAATTCTTCATTTAATTCATCTTCTACTTCATTATTTAATTCATCATTTGATTCATTATCTGACTCATTATCCAATTCAATATTTATTTCATTATTTAATTCATTATCTAATTCATCATCTGATTCATCCTCAGAACTATCACTTGATTCATTATCAAAATTATCTTCAAAACTATTATCTAAATTATTATTTTCTTCATTATCTGATTCAAGTATATTTAATATATTCGTAGTTTCAAGGTTTTTATTTTTATAAAGTTTTTGTGTAATATGTGGTAATTGCAATCTATAATTGCTATATATATAAACTAATTTAAAAACTCTTGGCTTAGTTAAACTTTGTCTTTTTTTATTATAAATAAATGAAAAATTAGACCAGTTTCTTTCTGCTGCAGCTGAAGAAGTTGGAATAGATAATATTTTGCATGCTAATTTTGCTAATTCAGGAACAGATTCTTGAAAATTACCTTTCCACCACATTATTGGATCAATTTTATTTACTGATTTCCAAGCTAGTTGATTATTAAATGGTCCATTTTTAGTTTTATATTGAATAATTTGTTGCCAAATAATTGCTGAATTTTGTGTATAATATTTAGAAACAAAGTTAGAAATAGTTGTCATATAGTTATTTGATAATCCACTTCCAGTTACTCTAGGATTAAGAAAATTTGCAACTTCCATAACTGGATGATATATTTTAATCCATCTAGCTTTTAATATATTTTTGATATCTTCTATATTATTTAATTAATTAATAAATTATTATAATAATTAAAATTAAAATTAGTTATTTTAGTTTTAAGTTTATATTTATAATTTAATAAAACTAAATGATACTCACTATTTTGAATTGATTTAAAATAATTATGATACCATTCATAAAAATAAGATAGTTGAGGATTATCACTTTCAAATATACTAATTCCAATTATTAATTCTTTCAAAATTTCAATTAATTTTGAAAGATTATTCCAATAGATTTTATTATTAACTGTTTTTTCAATAATTCTACTTATATTATCTTGATTAGCAATTAATTCAGTAATAGTAAGACTAATTGCAATATGGTTAACTTTAACTGATTCCATACAGATAAAAAAAGAACCCCATCTAGTTTTTGCTGGTAATTTAAGAGAAACTTTTGATTCTTGTGATTGCTGATGACGTTTAAAAATTGCTGTTGAAATATTATGATTTTTAAAAAACTTAACAATAGCTTTTGTTTGCTTAAAAATAGAATTAGCCCAACTTAATTTCATAATATCTTGAATAATAAGATTTAAACTATGTGCCAAACACCCCATATAAATAATATTTGGAAAAGATTTACTTAAAATTTTCCAAGATTTCTTCATAACAGAAGCATTATCAGTAATTATAGCACAAAGTTTAGACTTATCTATAGTTTCAATAATATCTTCTATATCCTTAGCAATATTATTAGCATTTTGACGTACTTCTTCTGTAGATTTAGCAAAGATAAATACTGGTTTTGGAGTTGCAAAGATAAAATTTGTCCAATGTTCAGCAGAAATACTTGACCTAAAAATTAATAATTTTAATTATATTTAAATTTATAATATTATAAGTATCTAAACTTTAAATAAAAATTATTTAACATTTATTTTGTCAAATTTGATTAAAATTTTTATTTTAATTCTATATACTTACAGAATTAAATTAAAAAACTTTAGTTAAATTTAACTAAGTAAGTGCTTGATGTTTATTATTTAAAATTTACCATCCATCACAAATCAAAGTTAAAAATTCAGCATCTTCAATAGTTTTATCTACTTTTAATTTAGTCTCATTATAAACAGCTTCTAGTAATTGATTAGCCATTTTTTTTCTTGTAGGTAATTTAAATGAAGGTTTTA